AATTGTGTACGTTTGTCGCGCCAACATCTCTATTTCCACGTAAAAACAATTGTGTACGTTTGTCGCGCCAACATCTCTACGCGGCCACCCTTTTTGTAAAACTACCATTTTATAATATTTCACGCGTTGAGAGATTGACTTCTTGCATAGCAATAACGCCGGATCAGAGGAACTGAAAGAGAGAGAGAGAGAGTTGACTTCTTGCATAGCAATAATGTCGGATCAGAAGAGGAGGAGAGAGGGAGAGAGAGAGATAGTTGAGAGTTACGAGAATGACATAATAAGCATTGTACTTGGTTTATATAGTGACAGTGAAATCCCGCCCACTCGGCCGTGCTCCACCGCAACCACGCCCCCTTTTTGGAGGCGGGACCGCAATAATTTCAAATAGGGCCAGGCAGATGTACTATGGTACTAATTGTAAAACACGGGTCCGCCCACAAAACAAGGGTCCGCCCAGAAAAACAAGGGTCCCCTAGAATTAAGAAGGGTGCCCTAAAATTTTGTGGCGCCGGCGTCTTTTGAAAAAAATGTCATTTTTTTCAAAAGTTGACAACAACTGAAAGTGCCGGTGAAACTAGAAAAGACAACTGATATGTTCAGTTTGATGTACTGTTATTTATCCAGTCAGTTATTGAATATCATCTTTGCAACCAACAACCAACCAACCAACCGATGCGGTGCAGGTCTTCGCAACAAAATGCAAGTCGGTGAGCGGCTGACAACCGCGCGCAAACAAAAACCACGGCCGCGTTGAAAGACACGCGAAATGAGGATACACGTGCCCTCATGTGTGCGGTGTGTTGTTAATTGGCGGGAGTAGAGGAGTGCGGCATATGTGTCGAGTGTGGTTTTGTCAGGAGGGTGGTAGTTGCGATGAGACGTGTGCGATCGGCTTGCCGCGTGTTGTGTTTCCACAGTGCGTACGGTTTGCTGTTAGCGTCGTTTTGTCGGCTGCTTTCGGCGTGTTGTGTGTCATTTTTCGTGACATATTTCACAACGATGGCTGACTACATCAATCCATTCCGGGTACAATGCAATTGTTAGCGGTTGACTTGCGGTGTCGCGAGCCATATGCTTCAGTTGTCACGACTACTGTTGTTCTCGATCTGGCGCTGTTCGTTGAGGCGATCTGGTGTCCTGCTTCGAAACACAAGTCGCTTAATGTGCATCTCTACTGTTAGAGTTTCAAATGTTGTTGCGGTATCGATCGTATGCGTGGGAAGTGTTTACGAGAGTAAATCAGTGAAACATCGTGTAAAAGCGGTTGTTTTCTGAAACAATCTCGCTGAACATCTTTATGTTCGCGTAATACCTGATTGATTCTGTCAGCGCGATATGCTCAAGTAAAAGATTAAGCCATGCATGCTTTGATTCATCAATGAAATTGCGTACGGCTCATTAGAGCAGATATCACCTTATTCGGAATTCAGATATGGATAACTGCGGAAATACTGGAGCTAATACATGCAACTAAATCCCAACGCAAGGCGGGATGCAATTATTAGAACAGACCAAACGTTTTCGGACGTTGTTTGTTGACTCTGAATAAAGCAGTTTACTGTCAGTTTCGACTGACTCTATCCGAAAGGGTGTCTGCCCTTTCAACTAGATGGTAGTTTATTGGACTACCATGGTTGTTACGGGTAACGGAGAATAAGGGTTCGACTCCGGAGAGGGAGCCTTAGAAACGGCTACCACGTCCAAGGAAGGCAGCAGGCGCGAAACTTATCCACTGTTAAGTATGAGATAGTGACTAAACATATAAAGACTCATCCTTTTGGATGAGTTATTTCAATGAGTTGAATACAAATGATTCTTCGAGTAGCAAGGAGAGGGCAAGTCTGGTGCCAGCAGCCGCGGTAATTCCAGCTCTCCTAGTGTATCTCGTTATTGCTGCGGTTAAAAAGCTCGTAGTTGGATCTAGGTTACGTGCTGCAGTTCGCAAATTGCGTTAACTGTGGTCGTGACTTCTAATTTGCTGGTTTGAGGTTGGGTCCGCCCTTCAACTGCCAGCAGGTTTACCTTGAATAAATCAGAGTGCTCAATACAGGCGCTTGCTTGAATAGCTCATCATGGAATAATGAAACAGGACTTCGGTTCTTTTTTTGTTGGTTCTAGAACTGATTTAATGGTTAAGAGGGACAAACCAGGGGGCATTCGTATCATTACGCGAGAGGTGAAATTCGTGGACCGTAGTGAGACGCCCAACAGCGAAAAGCATTTGCCAAGAATGTCTTCATTAATCAAGAACGAAAGTCAGAGGTTCGAAGGCGATTAGATACCGCCCTAGTTCTGACCGTAAACGATGCCATCTCGCGATTCGGAGGGTTTTTTTGCCCTGCCGAGAGCTATCCGGAAAACGAAAGTCTTTCGGTTCCGGGGGTAGTATGGTTGCAAAGCTGAAACTTAAAGAAATTGACGGAAGGGCACCACAAGGCGTGGAGCTTGCGGCTTAATTTGACTCAACACGGGAAAACTCACCCGGTCCGGACACCATTAGGACTGACAGATTGAAAGCTCTTTCTCGATTTGGTGGTTGGTGGTGCATGGCCGTTCTTAGTTGGTGGAGTGATTTGTCTGGTTTATTCCGATAACGAGCGAGACTCTAGCCTGCTAAATAGTTGGCGAATCTTCGGGTTCGTATAACTTCTTAGAGGGATAAGCGGTGTTTAGCCGCACGAGATTGAGCGATAACAGGTCTGTGATGCCCTTAGATGTCCGGGGCTGCACGCGTGCTACACTGGTGGAGTCAGCGGGTTTTTCCTATGCCGAAAGGTATCGGTAAACCGTTGAAATTCTTCCATGTCCGGGATAGGGTATTGTAATTATTGCCCTTAAACGAGGAATGCCTAGTAAGTGTGAGTCATCAGCTCACGTTGATTACGTCCCTGCCCTTTGTACACACCGCCCGTCGCTATCCGGGACTGAACTGATTCGAGAAGAGTGGGGACTGTCGCTTCGAGGTTTCACGACTTCGTTGTTGCGGAAACCATTTTTATCGCATTGGTTTGAACCGGGTAAAAGTCGTAACAAGGTAGCTGTAGGTGAACCTGCAGCTGGATCATCGCCGAGCTTCGTGCCACGTGATTTAATCCAAACCATTGACGAATGTTAACATTCCGGTCGAGATGCCTGCGCTATGAATGTTTCGGTCACTTTCTTACGGAATGTGGTGGTCCGATATTCTGAGGCTTAATGATCAAGTGTGTCGTGTCTTACAGGCGGATTGTCTGCGAAACGCTTCACCTGACGTCTCGACAGCGTTTTTGCTTCAACCCAAAAACGCGACGGTGTTGATGCAACACGATTCGGTGGCTATTGATGCGCTGATGACGTTTTCGAAGCGTCGACTGCGATAGTCTTAATGATGCGTCGCCGCGTTTTTCTGCTTGAAAAATGTGGCTTCGTACGCCAATCACAACACCAAGCCAATGTTTTTATCAGTTTTTGTGCATCACTAAAGATGAACGTGTTTCGTCTGAAGTGACGTCGAATTTAACGATTCGATACATACGTACTAGCTTCAGCGATGGATCGGTTGCATCGAGTATCGATGAAGAACGCAGCTTGCTGCGTTACTTACCACGAATTGCAGACGCTTAGAGTGGTGAAATTTCGAACGCATAGCACCGATTGGGTCTCCAGTCGGTACGTCTGGTTCAGGGTTGTTTATCTAAACTGCTGATATGCTTCGTGCATAGAAAAGCGTGTCGAACAATATGTTTGTCTCCGGACAATGATATTGTTCTAGTTTCCGAAGCATCACAAGTTGTGTGTGTGTGTGTGTACGTGCTACACACCCGCATAATGTGACGCGCTTCTCTATTTCTTACTGTACAAACGGTCGGAATGAGCTGCCAAATGGCGTCCGTCGCGATTCTGCTCGTGTCTCTCTCTCACAAGTGATGATGTGTATGAATTGCGGTGCGAATCGTCGCTCGATTTCCATTTTGCCGATGTGCGTGTAACGAGATCTAGAGCTCAACTAGTTGTTTGGCGCGTGCCGAGACGAACATGTCGCGGTGGTGTCAACGGCGAGTCGTGTGCGTGTCTTGATTATCTCAACCTGAACTCAGTCGTGATTACCCGCTGAACTTAAGCATATCATTTAGCGGAGGAAAAGAAACTAAACAGGATTCTCCTAGTAACGGCGAGTGAAACGGGAAGAGCCCAGCGCTGAATCGTTCAGTCTTTGGCTGCTACGAAATGTGGCGTATAGGTGTAGCTTTCCGACGGCGTCGTATGTCCGAAGTCCTTACGATTGAGGCCATAAACCAGAGAGGGTGCGAGCCCCGTTCTGGATAGCGATGTCGTCGGTTCGGTTGCTCCTTGGAGTCGGGTTGCTTGAAAGTGCAGCCTAAAGTGGGTGATAAACTTCATCTAAGGCTAAATATCGACTCGATTGCGATAGCGAACAAGTACCGTGAGGGAAAGTTGCAAAGGACTTTGAAGAGAGAGTTCAAGAGAACGTGAAATCGCTGGAGTGGAAC